TAAATTTTAGTAATATTTTATATAAAATAAAAATAGCTTAATAATTTTTTTGTTGTTGTAATTGTAGTAGTAGTAGTGGTAGTAGGTGTATATAAGACGTAAGTAGTTAAGGCTACACAATACGGGGTTTCATTCACAGGGTTCGGGAATACTCGGCTTGCTAGTTGCAAATCACACGAAATGCTGTTGCATTTATTTATTTTTTTAATTTGTTGTTGCAATATACATAGGTGTGTAGAAAACTGCTTGGCTATGTGGTATGGTCAAAGCTACGCCAAAATCTTTCGAATTCGTCATAAATTCGGCTCTTGAACGGTGACGTGGCGAACATCTCGTCAAAGGAAGGCGATACTGGTAGCTTGCTAAAGAATGGTGAATGGGTTGGTGGTGATGGTGGTGTTGTTGTAAAGGGCGCTGTTTCAGCAGCGTCGACTAAAGCGAGCAATTGAAGAGAAACATTAACGATTTATTGTGAACAAATTAACTAATTTGTGAATTGGGTAGGCAAAACTACATATGTACGAGTATGTATACAATATTCCCAGATGGTTGATGGTCGAAGTGGATTTTGACGTAAAAATTTAGAAGCACAATTATTTACAATGCACCACAGATGTAGTTATATTTCAGTTTACCGATGAGCTATCGATGCGTAGAGTAGTTACAGTGGTGGCTAGATAGGAAAGTGGGTTGGTGTGATATTTCACATACACATATGCATACATGGTGGCTATGTAGTTACATAAAGCAGATAGTTCACAGAAGTTTTTCGATTTTTTGTAGAGAGAAGAGATGTTTATGAAACATTTAAGTACTCGAAAGTGTGAGTTAACCTAATTACCAATTATATTGTATATACATGTATATGTTTTAGCCTCAATTTGTTTAGTTTTATGTTTTTGGTATGTCTGGATGAAAACGTGGTGAAAATGAGGGCGATACAGCTGCGGATCGTATGTAGGCTTGGCGTGTGGTTTTTTTTTTGATTTATTTGACACAAAAAATAGCACAGTATAATGGCAAAGTCCACTGAAAGGCCTCAACTTAACAAGAAATTGTTTCAAAATTAAAATTTTGGAAAATTACGCAAGTTTTTTAATAGTTAATAATTTTTTAATTCTTTTTACATAATATATTTGCKATAAGTATTTAATTTTTTTTCCTTGGACTTTTGACAATTTTTAGCACTGTATGGCATACAAAAATATATATATATTTAATTATTTTTCTAAATTATTTGTAAAAAAATTTTTTTCTTTATGAGCAGTTCAGAAATTATAATTTTTTTTATCTGAGATATATTTAAATTAATCGCACAGATGAACGTTGCCGAAAGTTTTTTAAAAGTTAATGATTTTAAAATTGTCTATATGTATGAAAACAAAGGAAACATTTTAAATATTATAGTTTTTCTAAATTTTTTTGTTCAAAAAATATTTATTTTTTTTCCTTATCTAAGTCTTAGTTTGATTTTCTAATTGTTTCTTTTCTTTAACTTGTCAGAGAAATTTTTTAAATTAATCGCTCAGATGATTGCTGTCGAAAATGTTTTAAAACTTAATGATATTAAAATCATAATTTTAATTTTTTTGTCGAAAGTATTTTTTTTTAAATAACTTTTTTATTTTAAATAATTTTTTTTCTTTCTAGGTTTTAGTTTTTTTCCGTGTAATTTTTTGTGTGTTTATTTTTGTGTAACCATTCTTAAATTTTTTTTGTTATACTTTTTGTAATTTTTTGATCTATTTTTGATCATATATATTTTTTTTAATTTATCACTCAGATGATGGCTTCTGATTGTAAATAGTTTACTGGGTTGGTTTGGAAAACATTTATTTTTATTTCACCCAAATAATAGTTAAAAAGTAGTTTCAAATTCCAGCAACTATTTTGTATATATATTATTTCTGAAAAATGTATTTTCTCTTAGCAAAAATCTGCTTGGTAAATGTACCATATATACTTTAATAATAAGTAAGAACAGTACTATGTATCATGATTTATTTAAAAAAATATTTTAATAAAAAAAAAATTATTAAATTTTGGTTTTTATTAAAAAATAGTGTTGCTCTTGGTCCATTTTCTCATTATTTCAATTTCTCTAAATGTTTAGATGTCCATAAAATAAATTTTAGTATTAAAAACAAATATTTAATTTATTTCAATGGTTTTTTTAATGTCTGGCACCCCTAGCAATGTCATAAAATGATAAAGAATATTTAAAATCGTGTTTCTTTGAATATTATATTCCTCTCAAATTTAAGACGCCATAACAAAAATTTATGACTTATTGTAAGAAGCATGAAAGCTCATGCGACATTTCTCAAGGTCACTGTTGTTTTGCCGTTATACTGCGCTACTAATTTTTTTCTCATATTTTCTTTGCAATTTAATTTTTTCGAAAATTTATTTATTCTACAAAACCAAAAAGACACACACGCTACGCTTGCTAATTTGCTGATCAAATTCATATTTAGTTAAAAGCGCTCCAAATCGACATGCCGACAACGATCGCAGTACCCAAAAAGCTACCAGCACCAATTAGAGCGGGTAAGGTTGGAGTGGAATCATTTGAGTCGATTGTATTACCGTTTGCAACAACATTATTGCTTGTTGTAGTAGCACTGGTAGTAGTATCGATTGTATCGGTAGCGTTCGAGGAATTTGAGTTGGACTTGGTTATGGTGGAGGAGTTGGTAGTAGTAGTACTAGAAGCTGAAGCAAATGTTTTACGAATAGTTTCTAATGTAGGAGCGTTCACACTGCGCATGCACTCACCCGTTTCTCCGCCGCTTGTTGGACGGCTATGCCCTTGTTGTGGTTGTTGTCGCGGTTGCGGCTGTTTTTGCACACTTACTGGCGGTGGCGCCACACGTTGGCTAGTATTTGTTACGATTTCCGGTCTTGCAATTTTCACAGTTTTCACCACAGACGATTTCTTTAATGCACTACTCATAGAATTACCATTCGCCTCTTGGCGACGCTCCTCCTCCTGATGCACCACCCGATGACCACCATCGATTTTCTCTTCATTGTGATTTGAGAAGCGTGCGAATTCGCGTAGGTGACGCGGTAATTCACGCAAATCCGCCTCCGATTTGCCCTCGATCACTTTCACAGGCGGCACTTCGGCATCACTCTCACTCGCGTGTCCTGCTTTGACCGGCTGTGACTCGGCGCCACTCTCCCAATCGCTGTCAGCTGGCATAGCCAGTTTCGTGCGTCGCTCCTGCACGCGCTTGAGGAACTCATCGCTAATATCGGTTTTGGGATGTGGCGGCACAGGCGGTTGTTGTCCTTGCTGCGTCTCATTGACTTTAGAGATTTTGATGATCTTCTGTAGACGACGCTCCTCGCGTTCCGCCACTTTGCTCAGCCATTCTTCAGCCATTTGCTGGCGGAACACTTCATCTTCAGTGAGTGTGGGCAACTTTGGCACTGGTCGGTATATGTCACGCATTGGGTGTTGTGGCATTTGCAGCGTCGGCGCTGGTGGCGTATTTAGTTCATCCATCAGACGGCGTCGCTCGTTTTGCAAACGCTCGAATTCCATGCGCAGCTCTTCTTCTTTGCTACTGATATATTTCAGTTGCTTCTCTTGTATCTCACGCGGTAGTGAGGCGCGACGCTGTCGCTCAGGCGCATGTGTACTGTACAGCGGTTCCTGTGCCGCCGCATGTGACTTAGGTGAAACAGGTGCTGGCGAGACACCGCGTCGCGTTGTTGTGCTTATATAAGTGGGGTTGGGATCACGTTCCAGCACTGAGTAGCAACTGCCGTGATGTGGACGTTGTTGTTGTGCCACTGGTTGCAACATAGGCGCATGCAAGCGACGCGCATTGTAAGCGTTGTAATTGTCATAGCTGTGCGTATATGACGAGAGATCGTTGGTGGAGGCGCTAAGGCGTGGCGCGCGTATGGTGCGCGGTCGCTGACGCTGATAGCAGATCTCCACTTCACGTGCGAAAGGACGTGTAATATTTTCCGACGAACCAAAGTCACTTGCATAACGCGCCCAATCATCCGCAGCGGCTGATTTCGGACGTTCGTAGGTGGCATATGTCTGCGGTTGAGCGCGTCTCGTATTCTCGGAGAGGTTAAACATCGACTCGGCGCGCCTGAAACGTGACGCATCATCCACCGTATCATAGTCTGCAGGAGGTGGTGGTGGCATTGGCGCGTCTCCATTTTCCATTACTATGGGTATATTGTAGGCGCGCGGCTGTGTTATTTCTCTGGGTGCTGAACTTCTGTCACTTTTGCGCGCAAAATCATTTGCATGTGCGTTGTTGTAAGCACCGTTAGTTTCAATTTCTATTGGTATTTCATAGGTACGACCAGCGGAGGGTGCCTTCGTGGTCGTGATGTTTTGCGCACCGCCATTAGCCCAACCCTTCAATTGACGCGAACGCATCGAACGCTCAATTTCCCGCTCCAACTCTTGCATGTGCTGATGACGTTGTTGCTTCAGCTCATCGAAATGGTCCTTGAAATTCCACTGCGAACGATTGAGATCGAAAAGTGATGCAGACTTCTCGCGTTGTTGCCGTTGCGCCTTACCCTCTTCGAGCTCCATGTGTAATTGTTGCGACAACGTCTCAAAGTCCTTGAACAGTTTGTCATGTTGAAAATTGAAAGCGGAATGCTTACTATTGCCTTGGCCAAGCGGTGGCGCGGTGGCTGGCGTCTGACCACTGAAAGCACCGAGCGCGCCGCCATCAGCCGCTGCTTTGGCACGTTGCCTAAATTCTTCATAAGCATTGCCGCTATCGCCACCGCCACTTGAGGCTTGTGGCCGTGCCGTGCTACTACCAAACTCTTGACTATTTTTAATATGTTCTTCTTTTATTGTGGTCTCCGTTGTTGTAGCCGTTGTGCCAAACGTGCGATCGGTGGGGTTGTGCCGTGTTGTCGTTGTGGTAGAAATAGTGGTGGCGTTTGAAGTGGCGGCAGGGTGTACGAAATTTGTCATGTTTATGCCGTTGGTTTGTTCTTTTGTTTCTACGTTAGTTTTTGCACTTTCTGTTGTGTTTAATTTTATTGCTGACATAATTTCACTATTTCCGCTTCTACTTGACACGCCATCGCCAGCCACCGGGTACTGCAGATATTCTTTGGCTGGCTCTCTGACGGGGAATTGCAACAAAGACGGCGTGGATGCACTCTCCAAGGACTTGTCACCATCTGACTGACGCTCGTGGCGTGAATCACTGTAGTCATAGACCACCTGACCATTTTCCATGCGCTTCTTCGCCTCGTAGGAGTGCGTCTCTATATTGGAGTACCGTTTGGGTAGCGTGCTCTGCAGCTGAGCGCAATAAGCGCCATCTTTCGATGCAGTGGACGATTCAATGTTGGAGAAGCGTTTACGGTTGCTGTCGAAAATATCGCTGGAGCCCATGGATGGGAACATTTTGGCCAATTCACTCTCGACACCTTGCATATTGACGGAGGACGTTGATGTTGTTTTTGTTGTTGTTGGGAAACTGTTCTTTGTGTAATTATTAGCTGCGTAAAAGTCGGACACTCTACTAATGCTGGTTGATTCGGACGCGTTTGCGTTTGAATACTGGCGTGTATCGGCGCTGGCTGTTGGCTGTTTTCCGGCGAATGCTGTCACGCCACCCTGTGCAGCAGCTGTAGCGGCAGCGGCGTCAGTGGCACTCGTTCGCCTTGAGTTATTTTCAAGTGATGATGTCTGTTGGTGTGCCGAAGATGTTGTTGATGATGAGCCATCTACCGAAACAGCAACAGCATCAGCTGGCGCGTCAGTGTTCTGTATTAGCGTTAGTAAGCGCTTTTGTTCTGACTGATTCGCTTGTATCTGCTGGCGCTGCTGTTCTCCATTCGCGAAAGTGCCTGCTATTTGCTCATTAGCATTTCTATCTTGTATTACGTCATAAAAGCGTTGGCTGTGGTCGCTGCTCACATGCGAAGACGATGCGGCTGCTATTCTTGCCTGATTTTGTGCCTTCGCTGCCGTTTCGGCATTCTTCGCTGGCACTGGTGGTGGTGGCACGGGCGGCGGTGGTGGTGTCAGGCTTTTACGTAATTTCTTCATGTACGCTGCCGTCTTCAAGATCTGTTGCTCCTCCTGCTGCAATTCAGCATTAAGCGATTTCACCTGTTCGTCGGTATATTCATGATAGCCACGTCGCTCCAGAAACTTTTGATGCGCATCCAAAAGTTGATCGGGTTGTGGCGTTTGTTGGGCGCCAGCCTGTTGTTGCGCGGGCGATAGACAGACCAGCACATTGGGATCGGCTGCTGTTGGCACGCCCAGCCAAGGCGCATCGCTGTAGCGCGCAGGTGGCACTGACACTGGTGGTAGTGGTGGCGAATGCAATAATTTTGCAGAGGCGGCGGTGAGATCACGCGATGCGCCTACTGGATCGCTGCGCTGTGTGATCGCCACATTGTGGGTAGTAGTCGTATGTGAGGAGGTGGCGCTGTGTGACGCCTGTGCGCGCTTCGGTTCACCGGGTGTTGTGGGCGTACGCTCGTCAGCAGCAATCGACAATTGCAATTCGCTTATGTGCGGTAATTGGGGTAACGGGTATGGCATGTTCGTTGCGTGTGTTGTTCCTTGTGGCAGCGCAGAACTCTTCTCCACTGCAGGCGTTTGTGTTGGTGCCTTCGCTTGCAATTCACCTATATTCTGTGCTACAGTGGCCAGCTCTACCAGTACCTGCTCGCCATATGGCATGGAAGCCAATGTTTCGGTGCATAAGAGACGTAACTTTTTAATTGCGGCATCCTTTTGTTGGGCGCTCGGCAATTCTAAATCGTTTTGCTGACCACGCGCGTTGGCGTCACTGTCACTATTTCCTTCATATTTCCATTCGGTGTACTGACGTTGCTGTTGCGCATCTGAAATGGGTGAGATTGCAGTCAGTGGTGGCGTTAACTCATGATCGGTGGAGGGGCGCGAGCCAACATTGATGGCTGTGCACTGACTGTGTTGTGTGCTGTCGGAGCAATGGGACTCGGCGGACTCTTGACGCGACAGCAAGGATAGTGTGGTCAAAGCGTTATGGGTGTTAGGGAAGAGTGTATTTGTTGTTTGCGTTTGTGGACTCTTCTGTTCTGTTGTAAGTGTCGTTGTAGAGTTGAAGGTGTTGTCTTGTGGGGCACGCGCGGGTATTGGTGGTGGTGGTTGTGGTGCTGACTGTGTTTGAAAACCTGTAAAATCACTATGAAAATCAATAGCACTAGCACTGGTGGGTGGTGGTGGTATGGGTGGTGGTGAGGGCGAAACATTAAATTTATCAATATTTTTCAATTCACACGAAGTACGCGAATCGGAGACATGCTGATTCCCGCACATTGTCGGCGTTGTCTCGATTGTATGCGAGTTTAATATATCGCGCACGCTATTCATTTCCAATTCAATATTTTTAAGCAGCACTGCTGGGTCAACGTTTAAACTATCACTAGTCGCAATTATGGCTGGCGGATATTTAGCATCAAGACTGCTAGTGAGACTGCTGCTGCCGCTGCCGTTACCGCTGCTGCTCGAGCTGCGCAAATATTCACACCTCTCCGTTATTGTCTCTGAACTCGTCTCCGTCTCCGTTTCCGACTCGCTATGTGTGGTTATTGTGCGCTTACTTATGCTTGTTTTTGTTGTGCTTGCTTTTGTTTCGCCACTGCCATTGCTGTTGGAGAGTATGCGCTCTGCACTTGGCTCTGCCAGCATTTGCAAACTTTTCAAATTCTCAAATATTCTGTGCTCAATGGGATTAGTGATCTTGGCTGTGTCAATATTTGTGCCATTAACAGCGGCTGCCGCTGGCGCTGCTTGTTCTACCCAACCACTCGCACTGTTATTGTTATTTGTGTGAATTTTTTGCGTTTCATTATTTTCTGACAGTTTTGTTGATGCCTGATTAACAGGTGTACTCTCGCGACTATCACTTGCTGTCGCCGCGCACTCCTCGCTGCCCGGTCGTGTTATGATTTCCCTTGCGTCCGTGTCGAGATCGATTGTTGAGCGACTACTGTTGCCGCACTCATCATCGCCGTCACCCTCCGCGTCGAGCTCCATCAGATCGGACAGGCTACTCGATGCCGAACTACTCAAATATATCACTTCAGCTGCTTCCGATTCGGGCGTGTGCTCGCTGGACAAGCGCGTACAGCATTCCTGTGCAGGCGTTATTGCGTTATCGATCAATTTGGTCGCAACCACCATAGCAACAGGCTCTTCGCGTATGGGTAATGATTTCTTTGGCAGTGCACCAAGCTGTTTTTTCGCATGCCGTCGCGTGAAATCCAAGTTGCTGCGCGGGAAGACTTCATTGGCTTTACGCACTTTCGACGCGGATGCATCATGCAAATCGTCGCCGGAGTGCGTGGTCATCAGTGGGTTGTCGGAGCAATCGCTGCGCGCATCGCTCATATCACTGTTCTCTTCCATAATGCTATCCAGATAACGTGGGCTCAGTAATTGTGGCAGGAAATGTGTTTCGAGCGCCACACGCTTTTGTGCTCGTCGCTGTTTCAGATCTTGTTGCTCCTGACTTGGAATGGCTGGTGGTTTGCGCGAAATATCGTGGCTGTCCTCGCTATCAGGAGAGAGTGTGCGCACAGCTTGTACATAGTCTAAAGCGCAAGCGCCAGCCGTAGACTCGGTCTCCGATTCGGCTTCACTTATCACAGGCGGATTGTCGTTATATTCGCTGGAGCTTTCGTCGCTCAGCTCTTGTATTTGCACAATACTTTTATTGAGTAACTGTGCCTTTTTGCTGCGGTACAATTGCGACGTGGGGCTGTCAGTGTCAGGCGAGTCAACGCGATAGTTAATGGGTGATGTGGATTCGAGTTGTATATGATGTATAATGACTTTTGAGTCATCATTTTGTTCGGGCCTACCTTTGTGGCTAACGCAAGCCGATTTCGTCACTGCCTCTCTTGAATTACCGGCTTCATCTTGCTGTAATTGGCTAACACCTGCATTATCGTTTGGTGGCTGTGCGATCTTATGCACGATCACCTTTGCCCCGGCATTTGATTGCGGCGTCTGGCTAGTTGTTTGTGCATCTAAAGTTTCTAATTGCTGTTTAACAGTTAGTTCGTCTTCTTCTTGCTGTATAGCGTGCAATATAACTTTCGGCTCTGAATCCGGTTGATCTGCTTTCTTCCGCTCTCCCTGCTTCTGCTCGATTTTGTGCACAATCACTTTAGGTTGTTGTGTCTCCATCATTTTCTCGACCTCCTTCGCTGTACTTTGCGCTTGCTTTTGCTGTGCAAACCCTTCAATTTGTCCATCAGTCGCCGTCACTTGTGCTTTCTGCTCATCCGTCACTTCCACTTTAAGCTCATCCGTCTTCTCACTTGTCAATTTCTCACTAACACTCGCCACTTGTTCGACCTTGTCAATGTCTCCAATGTGCTGCTCATTTTCGCCCCCCTCACTTGTTGTCTCGCGCACTATTCTATGCACAATCACCTTTGCCATTTGCGTTTTCGGCGCTGCCGTGTGCAGCTCGTCCAACTCTCTTGCACCGGCTATGGTGCGATCTGGTCTACTCATGCCGCACAAATCAGTTGAAGCTGTCATTGTTGCGGTCGTCGCTGTTGTTGCAGCATCATCATCGCTTGTAATGTATGCTTTCGAATCTTTATTGCCCATCGTGGATTTCTGCACTGCACTGTCGCACTCGGCACCCACTATCCCCTCAATGCGCGCTATGTCAATGTGTGTCGCTTCCTTATTATCTAAGTTCGAAAGTTGTGCGTCTGCATCTTCCACACGATTGCACTCTTCACATTCAACTGCAGTTGTGAACGTTTGGTGACTGCTTGTGGGTTCGTTCGAATTTAAATTATGGCACTGATTGAGCGCAACAGCAGGGGCGTCCGAGTCCACTTCTCGCGCATCTTCTGAGCTCGACGGCTGCTGCTGTGGTGAAGTAGCTGCTCGCGGCTCGTCTTCCGAAGCAACCGGTGTGGTTTGGGTGGCAGTTGGTGTGGGGGATTTTGGTGATTGCGGCGGTGTTGTGGGTTGTTTTTGTTGCTGCTGTTGATTAGATTGCTCACGTCTGCTTTGACCCTGACTTTGATTGTCTTGATTATTGGTCGGCTGCCGGTTTTGATCGGTTTGTCGAATTTCTGGTTGTTGCGAGTTTTGGTTTTTATTTTCTTGCTGTTGTTGCTGCTGTTGCTGATTTTTCTGTCGATTTTTATTTTTATTTCTCTTATTTTTCTGGCGATAATTTGGCATGTTATCTCCAATTCAATTATATAGATTTTATTGCACTTGTTGTCTCTTGCTCAACACGATCGCTCATCGATCACGTTTGATTGTCTACTTACTTCTAGGCGGTCCGTGACTCAAGTATATGCCTTGTGCTTACAAATGTCTCCGTTCTCTACCACTACTATGATAATTAGGTTAACCGCGCACGTTCTCGTTTTTTTTTTTTTTAGTTTTTTGCTTTGCGGGGATTTTTAGCGCTTTTTGTGGTGACTAAGGTCGCGTAACCAGGATAGACAAAAACAAAAAATGTATCTACATGTATAGTTATGTATGTTTGTTCAGTTTAAAGGAAAGTTGTTAGTTGCGTATGAAAAAGTTTGCTCAATTAATTGAAATTCGTATTGCGTATTTCAAAATTTCCGCTAATTCGTTTGTTGCTGCTATTATTGCTGTTGAATGTGCTGCTTGTTCTTCTTCTTTTTGCTATTCGTTTCGGTTGTCGAAAATCGTCGACTCATTCTGTTCGACTGTAGGTCTAGGAAAATACTGAGTGATCCCCACTAAATGTTCAACAAAGTAGCACCAACCGGCGAGCGCTGAGCGCAGCGTCAACGGTTATTCGCCGTGGTGGACGGTGGTGGCCCAAGAGACATTGGGCACGCGCACTGTTTCCCTAAATGTCACACAGAAGTAGCGTTTGTCTGTTGGCGCGCTGTCTTTTAGGTTTCGAAAAACAGAATTTTGGATATGCCTTAAAAAAACTTTTACAATTTGTTTTTGGTATTCGGCACACTCACACAGATACATATACATTGATAGCAGCAGATTTCATAACAGCGCTTCGCTGCCGCTACTGAAAATTCACATAACGCGTAGAGAAATTACAAAATTTTTCACTCGATTTATTTTCGAAAACCACCGAGTAGGCGCAGTGAAAAAAATAGGATTTTTGAAAACTTTTCTGGCTTCGTTTGCTCTTTTGCGGCTACAGCGCACGTTCGTTAGCTCACCCGTGCATGCTCGCACGTCACGGAGAGTCGTTGTATTAAACTGAATTCTATGTGCGCGTAATGTTTCCGAAGCGCTCTCAACATTAATAATATTTATTGCTGTTGTTTTTTTTTTGTTTTGTGTTTTGCTTTCTAACATTATTTGCTGGCTTTTGTTTGTAGCTAATTGTACATATTTTGGTATGCTTGTTGGGCATTCGCTTGGTTTGGTGTGCTAAAATGAGCGGAAAGGCAGCAAAGTTCGAAGTGGAAGAATATGGCGCGCTGTGAGTACGCTGTCGCTGCGAGCAGCCCGCCACGGAAATAGAAGTGCGAGTGAAATTTGAATGGTTTTTTGAGCGTCGGTTTCCCCATACACACACACATATGCTTACAGTTTTTGTGGGGTGAAGGGCTGGTGGAGCGGTACACGAACAAAATTAATGGTTCTAGTTTTTGTGTGTTATTTGGTTGTGTGTGTGTGTATGCATGCGAGTAAAATTCTATAAAAATATACTAAACAGGCATTTTCGGTTTGGCAATATCGCATACAGGGTGAGTAGCGTATAGTGGCGGTACGAGCAATGAATAGAAAATGTAGTGGTTTATGGCGTTTTGGGGTAAAGCGAGCGGACTTTGGTGTTTGTATTGTTGAAATTTGATAGAAGTGTTATTAATTAAATAAAATATTTACAATAATGGAACTTTCTTCAATGCATTTTCGGAAAAGACCACCCAATGGTTTGATTAAAAACGGAACATTAAGAAAAACTGATTTCAATGTTCGATTGCTCTAGTTTCTTGGAACGTTTGCAGTTTAATAGTAAATAATAAATATAAATAAGGGTTTTACGAGGCAAAAATTATCCTTTAACCCGTCCAAACACCATTCTATGTTTGTATTTATGTTTTTATGAAGACCAAACACTGTTTCGCAGCAAAAATTGTTATCACTGAAAAATAATTCTATCATACTGTAGACCATTTTGACACATCTTGGTGCTCATTCAAATATTTTCGAAAACGATTTTTGTATTACAAATGTCATGGAAAGTGTAAAACTGTATCGAATATACTTTCATGAGACTACTCCAAAAAGGGCAAACAATTTTGAGAAAAAACTTTAAATCATTAAATTCTTCCTCTTCATTGGCGTAGACACCGCTTACGCGATTATAGCCGAGTTAACAACAGAAGGATGGAGTCATGTGTAGAAGTTCACGCAAGCGAGGAAAGTTCTCTGATCGCCATTCACTTGGAAGTGGCCAGAAACGATTCTTTTACATATGACTCAAGCAACTCACGACTTCCGGTCTTTGACCAAGTATCCTCTGGGTAGCCTAAGAACATCAGTTTGAAGGCGAGCTAAAGTGAGAAGGCGAAACATCCCCTCCTAAGGGGAAAGTTGCCACTTGTTTGAAATTTTCTATTAAAAAATATTTTTAAAATAAAGAACACTAAAGATCGGTTATTTAAATAGTTAATTCTGGTGTTATATTCTTTTTAAGACAAAAATTTTGCCACCTGTTTAAATTTTGAATTACAAAATTATTATAAAATCAAATATTACCACGGGTTGGACAACCAACAGAAGAGTTTTAAGCATGCTTCGGGTCGCAAATATTTCTGAGCAGTGTTGACACTGGTAAACAAAAATATCGATATTATTATCAAAAAAAAAAAAGTATTTATATTAATTGTTTTTGTTTTTTTT